AATGAAAGAATCAGACTATTAGCCTTCCCTTAGTGGTATATTTTTGTGTGGTTTTTATGGTTGTATTCTCATTTTTTTGGTCTACATTTGATAAATGGAAAAATACAGTGGACCCCCGCATACCGATTTTAATCCGTGCAAGAGGGGTCATTGTTATGCGAAATAATCGGTATGTGAATGAATTTTCCCCATAAGAAATAATGGAAATCAAATTAATCCGTGCAAGACACCCAAAAGTATGAAAAAAAAAAATTTATCCACATGAAAATATACATTTTCCTACACACAAAGATAAGGAAAACATGCACATAGTAAGAGTAGTACAGCACAGTTCTTATATTGTGCAGTGTACTAGTCTACTAAATGAAAGAAATAAATGGCACTTACCTTAATGAAGATGCAGCAATGACCTGATGAGACACTGTGTCCTGGGAGTGCCTTTTCCTCCTGAGTACTGTAGGTCCAGTGGCATTTTCTTCCAGAAACAAAAAAAAAAACACACCCAAGGCCTTATCACACTGTTTATGCCACTACGATTCTTTTAAATCTCCCAAACCAACCTTGCGTGGCTTAAAATTTCACCAAAACGACACTAGTTTCCCGGCATTTTTTTTTTTTCCGCTGTTCACCTGGGTGATAGTCGACTTGTGTGTGGGTTGCATGCCAGGGAGACAAGATAAGGACCCCAATGGAAATAAGTTATACAGTCCTTCGATGAACACTGACTTTTTTGGGTTATCCTGGGTGGCAATTCCTCTGGGGTTATTGTTTCCTTGTATTCGCATTAAGCCACAACCAACAACGGTGCTAACAGCAGCAGCAGCAGCTGAACGGTGGTACAGCAGCAACAGGACGATGCTACAGCAGCTGCAGACGATTCTACAGCAGCAACAGACGAAGTTACAGCAGCAGCATACGATGCTACAGCAGCAGCAGAGCTGACAGTGGTACAGCATCAACAGATTGTAACTACAGCAGCAGCAGACGATGCTACACAGCAGCAGCAGCAGCTGGACGGTGGAACATCAAGCAACAGACAATGTAACAGCAGCCGCAAACGATACTACAGCAGCAGCAGCAGCTGACGGTGGGTACAGGCAGCAACAGACGAATTGCTACAGCAGCAGCAGACGATGCTACTGCAGCTACATGTACGAAGTACAGCAGCAGCAGACGATGCTGACAGAGCAGCAGCAAGCAGCAGCAGACGATGCTACCAGCAGCAGACCAGCAGCAGCAGCCGTTTCTAAAAGCAGCAGCAGCAGCTGACAGGCAGCAGCACAGAAACGTACCACCAATAGTAGCGATGGTTTTTGGGGGTTTATTAACAACTGGCCACTGGGAGACACCACCCACTTTCATACTTATCAATAAATCTTTTTTTCCATCTCTATTGTAATTCCCCACCCTTTTGCTGGGGGTTTTGGCACTGAAGCTTTTTTGGGGGGCCCATGGTCACTTTTTTTTCCCAGAAAAAGCACCAAAAGAAACGAAATAATACAAAATTTTCCGATTGTATGCTTGGATTTACCGCGGGGGCTGGCTGGAAAACAATCCACCGGGGGCAAATGTGAGGCTGGCTGAGGGCGCAAAATTGGACGCGCCCGGGGACGAAAATGGGTGGGGCAGTTTTTAACGGGGGGGATGCAGGCAAAATTTTTTTTTGCGATTAAACAAGCGGTAGCTTTAATGTTATGTAATGCCTGGGTACGGGGGTCCACTACTACAGAAATAGATATGATTTTGAGGGTTTTTCACAAGGAAAATACAGTGGTCCCCCCGCTTTTCGTAGTTCCGGCAATCGAAAAATTCCCCAATCATGGGGGTTTTTTCGATGAACACGGACCGCTTTCATAGGTTATTTCGCGAGTTGAAGTTCGCCCGGGGACGCGTACCCCAGGCGTGAGCCGGGGGGCAGCCAGTCTGGCATTTTTTACCATGAGCAAAGGGTCCCCTCACGTGCTCCACGAAATATTTCAAAATTTTTTCCATTTATTTAGTGCTTGCAAGTACAAATAAGCTACCAGGGCTCCAAAAAAAGCCCCAGGGCCAACCTGTGGTAAAGAAGGTGAGAAATATGACAAAATTTAAAAAAACCACATTGAAAATAGGGAAAGTGGTACAAGGGGGCCCGAACGTCCGGGATGTAAAGAACCCTACAAAACCCTTATTTTCCGAGGGCCAAGAAAAAAAAATAAAGGATGCTGTTGTTGCAAAGGGAGTAATATGCGACAAAATGAGATCCCCTTACTGGAAAGGTTGAAAGTTATTATTGCTGGGGACAAATGAAAAAACAATTAGCAGGAGATACTCTTATGACTTCGATATTTGGAAAAGGCTAGGCATTTTGCATGAAGATTTGGTAAAAAAATTTGCCTCAAAAAAGTGGTGAAGTAGTAATTTTTAAGGCCAGAAAAGGGCTGGTTTGAGAATTTAAGAACCGACTGGCAAACAGTGGGGAAAGGCAGGGTGAGGCTGCCTTTTTGGGACCACAAGGCGGCTAAAAAAAAAGTGCAAAAAATTCCCCGGTACATAGAGGCTGAAGGACTGAAACCAACAAGTGTTCAATTGTGACAAAACAGCCTCTTTTTTTAAAAAATGCCAAAGGACCCCTTTATTACACAAGGAAAAAAGGGTGCCAGGGCACAACCTATAAAACAGGGTGATGCTAATTTTTTTGCTAATCAGTGGGGTTTTCAAAGTGAAACCTTACTAGTGAAACCCTTCTGAAAAACCCAGGTTTCAGGAAAAAAAAAGTTAAAGATAAAATTGTTTGGGGGTTTTAGAACTCTAATATAAGGGATGGTCACAGGGGAAATTTTTTTGTCGAGTGGTTCAATGAAGTTTTGGCCCCAGTGTAAGGGGTATCCCTGGAAAAAAAATTGGGGTCTCAAGTGCCTGCTAGTAATGACAATGCACCGCTCATCCTCCAAAATTGGATGACCTAATTTTCAGGAGTTTTTGGGGTTTATCACGGTAAAGTTTTTGCCCCCGAATACCACCCTCCCTCCACCCATGGACCACAGGTTTTTGCAAACTTTAAAAAAAAAAAACCAAAAGCAAAATTTTTACAGGGGCTTTACTGTGACCACAGACACTCACTTGACCCCAAGGAATTTTTGGGGAGAACCTTCAGCATCCTCCACTGCAAAAACCCTCATATGATGGGTGGGGGGAGTGATTTCAAGGGAAATTTTAAATCTGCCGGAGAAAATTTTTGGCCAGTTGGTCGACAAAGGGGTTTTGAAAATTTGGGACTACCCTAAGAGCCTATGTCTGTTGTAAAATCAATTTGGGACTGGGGAGTTCCATGGGGTTTTGGATTAGTTTGGGGATGTGGAAAATTGGTGGGAAGACCACAAAAAAGAGCTCACCCTGAGGACTGCAAAGCTTCAGCGGAAGAGCAACACACCAGCTCAGAAACTTTCTGCGAGGAGGAAGAGAGATGGAAAAGGTGCCTTCTTTAGAAATTAAAGAATTTTTACTAGTGGGGGAAGAGGAAAGCTTTTTGGAAAACACACCCTAACAAGGTTGTTGCAAAAACCCAAAGGCAACATGTACATGACAAAGCTTTGGGGGATTTTTGGGAAGTGTTTAAAAAGATGCCAAAACTGGCTCTCTCCACAGTTTTTTTTGTTAGACAGGACTCCGGGCTCCAAGGGGGTCCTAGTGGCTTAAAAAAAACAGAGAAGAAAACAACCTGAGGTGTTGATGGGAAGGGGGTTCCCCTTCAAACTATAAACAATCCCTCTCTCCTCCTCCTCCATCTCCATACACTAAGAAGAATCCCTAAAGGTAAGTGTTATGCTGTTAATGTTTCATTCACTTTTTATTGTATTGTTTTTGTACTACATTATATTTCATGTTAAAATTTTTTTGTTTTAATACTTCTGGGGGTCAGGGTACGGATTAATTGTATTTACTTATTTTTTATGGGGAAAATTGATTTGTAAATCGAAATTTCTTTTTAGTAAAGGCTCCAGGGAAAGGATTTAATTTTTAAAAACAGGGGCCATTGTATCTTGAAAATTTAGCCGAATGGCAGAAATATTCAATTCTTTGGGGATTTCATGAGAAAAAAATAGTCACCCCCCAAACCTGTCCGATTGGGAAAAGCCCCCCGACCTTTACGATTGAAAACTCAAACACTTAGCAACATAAAGCAGCAGTGGGAACAACCTGAAGCGCAGTGGCAACAGCATGGAGTAGTAGTGACAGACACAGAGGCAGCAGTGGCAGACCAAATGAAGCGCGTGGCGACAAAATGAAGCGGGAGTGGGAACAAAATAAGCACATGGGGCCCACAAATAAAAAACAGAGGGCAGCAATATGAAGCAGCATGGGAGGGGAACATGAACAGCAAGGGCAGACAACAAAGCGCAGTGGCAGACATCATGAAGCGGTAGTGTCAGACATCATGAAGCAGTAGTGGCAAAGTGTAGCATTAAGAGTGCAGCACTTTTAAGTCACTCTGTCTAACTTTTTTGGGTTACCCTAGGTTCTCTACACGTGCATTCAGGAGCAGGAATGGCCGCTTTGGTGGCCCTATAAACCCCAACAACAGCAATGGCCACTGTCACCACCACTAGCCACATACACAATGACATGTATTTTATTCATTCTAGTGTACATATCAAGTTTCTATGTTATTAATATTATTTATTATGACATATTACATGAATTATAATATATAAATAAGCCGTAGAGTTGATATTAGGGAAATTATTGAAGTATTTCCTCATGTCTTGAATTCCACTAGAATGAATTAATTTCATTTCAGTTAATTTAAATGAGGAAAATTGACTCTGCAAATGAGCAAATCCAAATGCGAGCAAGGTCATGGAACGTATTAAACTCGTAAGTAGAGGTTCCACTGTATATTATTTATTAGCTAGGAACAAGTGACAGCTCATAGAATAGCTTCAATAATTAAACAGTTTATGTTTCAGTATATTATTATACTAAACTATATGGTTATTAGTTGGTTTCCTCTTTTTCAGTACCAGCAGATGTTGAAGATGAAGTAATGGGCGTAATTCACTTTTGTGAAGAATTTCGTAACCGATATGGAAGCTGTGTTCCTATGTTTTATCAAGGTTCATTGGAAGATGCCTTGAAAGAATCGGTTCAACTTCCAGCAAAAAATGTAGGTCTGCTTGCTTTGTTTCTTATTTTGGGGAGGGATGTATTTTCAAGGCTCAAAGTTGTGTACTTCGGATTGTTCAGGTGATCTTCAACTGTTGCTTTGTGTACAGACCATTAAAAATAATATCCTCAGATTAAAACAGATCGTGGTATTGTATGTCACGTAGCATATAGTCTGATGTTAAACTTGAAAATAATAATATAGAAGTGTTTAAATGAACTTATAGATTTGGTACCTTATTACTAATCAGAATGGATAACATTGGAGCATGCAGTATAACCTCTACTCTCTTGGTATTCACTGTTTTATTTTCTAATAATTCTAATTTTTTTTTTTCAATGAACCAGCTGTATCCTACCGAGGCAGGGTGACCTAAAAGAGACAAAAAGAAAGTTTTCCTTTTTAAATTTACTAATGTGTACAGGACAAGGGGTTATTAGCCTCTTGCTCCCTTACTAGCTGAATGTCATATGAAGGAAGAATTCTTTTTTCATTTTCCGTGGAGATAAAAGGAAATAAACAAGAAGAAGAACTATTAAACCTTCGACTGTTGCAACCCTCAATCCTGAGGTGTCTCCTGGTGCCGCAAAATATTTGAAAAAAAAAAAAATTATGAAATGATAGAGAATCATTTCCCGATGGTAATGGCACCAAAAGTACGAAGTTAGATGGAAAACTTACAGAATTATGCTCTCGCGAAGTTAACGACCTGGGCGATATTTACGAATTGGCGATTCCACCCACTTTGAGCCCTATTTTCGGCTAATTCCATTGTTCCAGTCGGCCAACCTCATAGCTATTTCTTTAGAACTCCATTTGTTCTATCGATTGAGTACAAGAAACTGCCCATTTACCAATTTCAACTACCCAATAAAGTGGTCAGAAATTGGCAATTTGGCCAATTTCACGCAAATTAAAAAATATACCAGTTTCAAAATAGGGTCCAAAATGAACACTGCAGACATTCCTGGCTCTAAAATAACATTTTCTTTGTTCATCAGTCATGTCTCCAGGCCTCTCCAATATTACTCCTGCTGTCTATTTTGAATTTTTATTCAAACAAAAAAATAGATTTACTGTTACGCACACTACTGCAATATTGTAATAATTGTATAAATAATGTCAACCCATTCATGACTGCATATTAGCATGGCTAGTTGGACACAACAATGACATCATTTGTTTACTCTTGAACATCTGCAAAAATCAAACATTTCCCCTACTTTGAGCTCCATTTGAAGGTCCTTTTCATAGCAAAACCAATCAAAATCATCTGTTTCTGTAATATGTTTTCCATTCTATCAATTGAGACCAAGAAAAAGAGAAGACAACCAAAAATACTGTACAAAAATACACCTCAAAGTTGGCACTTTTATTCGAAAACACGCTCGGAGTTTTTTTTTTTTCTCATGCACTGTGTGCTGCAGGATTTTTTTTATACAGTGCACACTGACCATACAGACCCATTCTCTCAAATGTGGGCCTACCAGCTTTCTTCCGCTTGATTTGAAGCCGGTAGAATTTTTGAGTATGTATACGTCAAACATGTTGGCTCGTAAGATGTATATATACGACCAAAACAGTCAAAGGGTTAAGAAAATAAAAGAAAATCCATCTTCTTTCATCAAACCAGCCGTATCCTATCAAGGCAGGTTGGCCCAAAATGGAAAACAAAAGTTTCTCTTCATAACTTAGTAATGTATACAGGAGAAATGGTTTAGCCTGATTTATGCCAACACAAGGTATGAAATATCCTAACCGCATTTAAGGTTGCCTCTATGAACACAAGTTCCTGATATCCATGGAGAAGAATCCTTCACCCGCCCTCCCCAACACACCGAACAACCAGAATTCCGTTCACACTCCCCACCACAGGAACAGACACACACACCCCACACACACACCCCCCCCACACACCACACACACACACACACACACACACACACACACAACACACACACACACACACACACACACACACAACACACACACACACACACACACACAGGAGGGCCCCACTTATACGGCGGGTTAGGTTCCAGGCACCGCCGTAAAGTGAACAACCCTTTTTTTCCACTTACAAATGCATACAAACACTAGATAACAAGTTTACACTAACATATATTATGTTAGCAATAGAACCATGCATCAAAAAACAATAAAAAAGTGCAATACACACATAGTGCACTCATTACTTACCTTAAAATATTTATAGTCTTAATCTAGGGTGAGACAAGTAGTATTTATTGTAAGAAATCAAGTGTGGTATGTATGGTAGTCAGCCAGGCTACCATACCAGGCCACCCCACCCACACATACTATTCTATGATATTTAACCCTTTGAGGGTCGACAGGCCCTCTCCGAAACTCGTTCTCAGGGTCAGCCAAATTTAAAAAAAAAAAAATTTATTTTTTCTTATGAAAAAAATAGAGTTTTTTTTTCTAAACATTATAGGATAAACAAAAAAAATTTACCATCAATACTTACGGAGATATGGATGCATGAAGTTTGCAGAAAATGAGCCGCGTATGGCAACAGCGGCGACTGCCGCTCACCCGGTAAACTTTAGTTTACTTGTATTTGAAGGTTTGTTGTTTTTTTCACTATTTTATTTTTTCACATAACTTATGTGGCCTATGAGACCAAAGTAAGGTGCAATGTACATATATACACTCGTTGTATACAACACAATAAGCACACAAACATAATTATCAATATATTGTTTACAAAAACTGTTTACAAAAACAAACAATACAAAACATTGTTTATTATTATTGTTCTATAATATATATACCAATATACAGTCACTGAACATATTCCTATTAGTTCTGCAGCTTGTGGAACTCTGAAACATGGTGCCATACACAATGGTGTTTTATCTTTCTCCCTCATTCTATCTCTTTCAATCTGTCTCTCTCTTTCTATCTGTCTGTCTATCTCTGTCTCACAGGTACACATAAATACAAGTATACATAGTATAAATTACCTAGGATAACCCAAGAAATCCAGACAAAGTGCTATACTCTGCTTGAAGATGTGAGTAAAAGTGATGACACAGTCTTGTGGCTCTCTGAGAGAGCTAGACGGATAGACAGATAGACAGGGAGCTTGACAGACAGACAAATAGACAGACAGAAATGTTAGTGTACCAGTACCAGTGTACTAGTGTTCCACCCTCCTCCTCTTCTTCCTCTTCCCCCTACTCTTCCTCCTCTTCCCCCTACTCTTCCTCATACTCTTCCTCTTCCTCCTACTCTTCCTCTTCCTCCTTCTCCTACTCTTCCTCTTCCTCCTACTCTTCCTCTTCCTCCTACTCTTCCTCCTCCTCCTCCTCTTCTTCCTCTTCCTCCTCTTCCCCCTAATCTTCCTCCTACTATTCCTCTTCCTCCTCCTCTTCCTCTTATTCCTCTTCCTCCTACTCTTCCTCTTCTTCCTCCTCCTCTTCCTCCTCCTCCTCCTCTTCTTCCTCTTCCCCCTACTCTTCCTCCTTCTTCTCCTCCATAGTGTAAATTACCAGGAGTCGGCAGCTGTCAAAGTGACATATTGTCTCATTACTCACTCCCCCCTCCCGCCTGTCAAAACAATGGGGTCGGATGCTGCTTCCCTTCCTCCATTCTATCTAATTATCTTTCTCCCTCATTCTATCTGTCTTTTTATCTCTGTCTCAAAGGTACACATAAATACAAGTATACATAGTATAAATTACCTAGGATAACCCAAGAAACCCAGACAAAGTGCTATACTCTGCTTGAAGATGTGAGTAAAAGTGATGACACAGTCTTGTGGCTCTCTGAGACAGAGAGCTAGATGGATAGACAGGGAGCTTGACAGACAGGCAAATAGACAGACAAATATTAGTATACCAGCAAAAACAAAGGGAGGGAGATGTTTATCTCATCTTTTGGCATCAGCTCTACCCTCATTTACCCTCATCAAACGTCAGCACTTATCAGATGTTACTCCCCTTATCTTGTTACTGTCATGGGTGAACATTTATTATTACATATTATTATTATTATTATTACCTATTATTATTATTATGTATTATTATTATGTATTATTATTATTATTATGTATTATTATTATTATTATGTATTATTGTTATCATTACATATTCTTCTTCTTCCTCCTCCTCCTCCTCTCTTCTTCTTCCTCCTCCTCCTCCTCCTCCTCCTCTTCTTCTTCTTCCTCCTCCCCCCTCCTCCTCCTCCTCCTTCTTCTTCTTCCTCCTCCTCTTGCCTCCTCCTCCTCTTCCTCTTTCCCCCTCCTCTTTCCTCCTCCTCCTCTTGCCCTCCCTCCTCCTCTTGCCTCCTCCTCCTCTTGCCTCCTCCTCCTCTTGCCTCCTCCTCCTCTTGCCTCCTCCTCCTCATTTCCTCCTCCTCCTCTTGCCTCCTCCTCCTCTTGCCTCCTCCTCCTCTTGCCTCCTCCTCCTCTTGCCTCCTCCTCCTCTTTCCTCCTCCTCCTCTTTGCCTCCTCCTCCCTTCCTCTTCCTTGCCTCTCCTCCTTCCTTCCCCCTTGCCTCCTCCTCCTCTGCCTCCCCCCTCATCCTCCATTCTTGGAAAAAAAGTTTGAAGAGCTTGTAGATCATAATCACTATCAAATATCATCACCAATGCTCACATCTGAGTCTGGGGTTTTGGAAAATAGGAGTTTCCTCTTTGATTCTGGTACAACTGAACGTGAACAAGATGGGCCCCCACCAGAGGTGGAAGGCCCGTGGGTTGTCTGGGTTTTCCTCACTATTACCCATATATGGGCATTATTTTCGGTCAAAACCTCACCAAACCTTGAAACCTCATCTTCACTGTCACTTCCATCTGTATTAGAACTGTCACGGGAACAAAAGTGTCCCAATTTCGCCGAGGAGTGAGGAACTTCTTACCGCAGGCACGGTGGAAATTGTGTACTATGATGGCATTCCCAACAATGCAACCACTGGGTCCCAGATTTTTTTTTCCCACTGCGCACACCCACCACACAGACCCATTCTCTCACATCT